CTAAATATATACAGAAATAAAAATTTCTGTATAAATTCAATGTTTTGCAGTGAGAAGGATCCCTAAACACCAGTTAACTAGATCTTACAAGTTGCTGGGTCTAGAGCCATGACAGCCTCCCCCTTTATATTAAAACATTATGGTGGCTGCAATATTCCCCAGTTTTATGGTTGAGTATCTAATTTACATTAAGTTCTGGCAAACACTAATGTGACCTCATCAAAGGCTGTTAATGAACTCTAGCTCTGCTCAAATTCACCACTGCTAGCCAACTATGAAAGCCTTGCCTGAGGAAAACTACAAATATATCTCAAATGGAAAATGCAAAAAATACTCTCAATAGTCTCTTCTCAAGTAAGGGCAGTTTTCAGAAAGATAAAAATGGCTTTTTAAGACTTTTTATTTTATATTCACCTATTATGGCCTTTAGCATTTCCAGCTGAAGTCTCAACTCATGGACCAACCCGATACAGTTAACTCAGAATAAGGAATGTATTGGTTGAATTAATTTTCCTATACTTTAGGAGGTTTATTTTTAGATACTGGAGAGGAAAAAGTGATAGCTTGTTAGAACAACGGAAGCACATATAGATCACATTGGAAAGTCCAACCTAGAAACGGAAGTTTTAGATAAGCTACTACAAAATGAAAAAGGAAAAAAGAAATAAGCATAAACACCTGTTTAAATATCTCGAAGCTGCATGAGCAGAAGAAGGACATGTGAAACGGGCATTTCTATTTGGCCATAAACTTGTGCTACTTTAACAGTGTTACACTGAATTTTCTCAGGAGACACAACATGCCTATACACATACTGTATTTCTTCTAAAAATTCATCTGTCGGCAAGCTATGTCTTCAGTCACATGCAGCATTGTAAATTAGTTCACTTACACCTGTCATTAATGGGAATTTGACAGAGCCAAGCCTCGGGAATCTGATTCTAGTTATACATGGCCAGTGGTCGATTCATCAACGCAAACAGGCAAAGGAAAGGACTACAAAGCGCAAGTATTTGATTCTTTTATTTTTTTAAAAAAGCACAGCTCTGATGGCACTGCTCAAATTAAACTCCCACAGCCGCATCATTCATTTTCCTAGGATAATCTGCTTCTGTGATTTTTAGAACAAAGAACAGCAAAGCAATGAATTCTGCACACCAATAAAACTAACGGGGTTTCACGCAATTCCTCAGTTTTGCCTTTAGTTAGAGATTTATTGATGACCTTAAAAGACAAGGGCCACTATATCCTACATTGTTACCACTGGGCTAACACTTGGAGCACATCAAACTGCCCGGTGATTTACAGGAGAGCCTAACAGCATCTGCTTCTGCTCAACTGGCAGCAATCCTTTCTGCCCCCGTATTCCTGCCAAAGCCTTCTTAACTTAACACCCCAATAATTCATATCACCTCTGTGTGAAATATGATCTAAACTTATGATTCATAAAATTGAAAACACATTAGAACACAAAGCGATAACGCCAACAAAATGAGACCCTGTTGATTCTTCTGTAAATGGGACTGATATTTTCCATGGGAATTATCTTGTTCTAAATAATCCCACATTATAAAATCCTCACAGTAATTTATTGAGGCTTTAAAAAAATCAGTAGTTGCTAGGAAATATTTTAAATCAAAAAGGTAAACAGTATCATTACAGTAATATATAAAATGTTTCATCAATAACTGTATCAAGAAGAAGCAACAGAAAGAGTTTTAGGGTCTCCAAACTTCAGAAAGAATTTTTAAACAAAAAAAAAAAAAGAAGGAATTGAGGAAAGCATTGTTTCCGCCTCAAAAGATTACAAGTTACTGAAAAACTGAGGCTATTTGTAAATGAGCAAGGCACATACCAGGGCAAAGATCCCTTTAAAAACTACATTGCTAAAGAAAAATTTGTACCAATTTGGCACTCCGCATCATACATTGCAACACTTTTCATCCAGTATGCAGAGCTCTCAAGCTATATATGACCTTGCTTGAAATGACAAACTTAATGCAGGATTCTCTCTCTCTCAGCCAGCATTAAATGGCAAAGAACATGACAATGACAAGGGAGGAATTTCTTGCTGCCAGGAGAGAAGTACTCAGGAGGTTAATGTTTTGCAGTCGTAACCGAATGTTGTGTCAGCGAACCGTGTTTTGGTGCTACGAGTAGGCAAAGACCACAGTGCTGAAGCCTCTAAATGGCACTGCTCAAAGGTTAACCATCCTGATCCTAGCCAGGAAAAAAGCAACGACAGCAAAGAAGCATTGCTTTTAGTCATCTACACACTTGAAACACAAACAATGGATTGTGTTTACGAAAATAAAGCCATTATTTTCCACTAACCATGCCAACTTTAGGAGAAATCTGAAGACATAGGAAGGAAGGTCTGTGGGTAGGATGGAAAATTTTAGAAATTTTCTGAAAATTCTATATTTAATTTTTGGTTGGGTAACAAACCTATTGACTTATGCTGTACAAATATTTGTTCTTTGTGAAAAACAAACATAAGACTTAGCATTATTATAAAGTGGAGTAAGACTTCCCTTCAGGGAATGAAGGCCACTTCATAAGCACTTTGCGAACACTTCACATTAAAACAAGGGACTCTGGAGTTCAAGGGATACGTTATTTTAATCAGTTCCCATTTACAATCACTACGGTAGAGATAGCTACAATTATAGTAAATGGCAGACACAAGAAATCCTTCATGTGGCATTAACAGGGCCTTATCATTTGTAAATTCTAATCTGCCTATATCAGACTCGGGAGAACTGAATTTTGTGCAACACTTGAATTCTGGTCAGTGCCTACATATGCATCACCCTTACAAGTGAATGCTTATGTTGGACTCCAATTATAAATACTATTATAATGTAAATTACAATAGTGTGTTTATCTTAGGTGATTTTCTTTCTGCACTGCATATTTCTTTTACATACCTAGATGCGAGAAATTAATAATTTAAAACTCACCTCTTGTAGAACTGCATTTTTAAAATACACATTCCCTGATGCTACAGGACTTTTCATGTCCTGAGTCCAAAAAAAAAAAATGGTTTAAGAACATCCATGCATGAGTTTAAGTCTGCCTGCTATCAGGTACTTCCTATATACAAAGCAATTTTCCTTACATGGGACTTGTGAGGAAAGACTTGTACTTGTAAGTACAAGATCGCAGGCAGCCATCAAATTATAAAAACAAACATCCTCCAAAATGGGGTAAAAAAAAAAAAAAAAAAGAAACCTTTTATTAACCAAGTTCATGTTCTGGTAAAATTATTTTTCAGCGTACTTACAAAGCTTTCATAAAGCCCAATCTCACCTTAAACACTGGCAGGTTGTCAGGGTCACAAATAAACCATGCTGCAGAAGGACACCATGATGGCTCCGTGCAAAGCTGACTTCGCTGCTCTCTACCCCTTTCCCTGAATGTGGCAGGAGGAAGGCTCGTTAGCAGCTCTCAGTGAGCACCACAAGGCCTGGCCTGTCCCTACCTTGTATCCCAGGGGGGCTTCTTTGATGAGGTGCCACTGGAATACAGCCCAGCTGCTCCTGGTCCTGCACGTCAACAAAGCCCCGCACGTGAGTTAATAAGCCCACCCAGAAACAGAAGGCAAGCAGGGTACCATGCAGGCTTTGAAGAAGTCAGCAATGGTCAAGGAGTAATACAATCTAGGTTCTTCCTTTACTTAGATTATCCCACCTCTTCACTACCCTCCTTATACAGAATCCAAATTGCAGTCCACTGTGAAATATTAACCGATTCTCCCTCAGTGTAACTAACTTACAAAGTCTCCAACATGCCTCTGCAGGATCTCCCCTTCTGCTGTACGGCTAGAACTCAGGGCGGATGTGGGGGTAGATGCTGGGCTATAAATCAGGTGATTGAAATGATCTAAGTTAAAAAACAAAAGCTTTGTGGGCCAGAAAGATGTAATTCATGAGGCGCCTGGTTCTACAGACAACTGGACAAGCACAACTCAAAAGGTGAGGAAGTGCTGCACCGGGCAACAAGAGCAGCTGCCCAGGAGCTTCTTAAAATCACCACAGAGCCAAAGAAAATGCATCACGTAACTATGCCCACAGCAGAACTCCAGGCTGTGGAAGCCTCCTAACACTTCTCAGCGTATCAGCAACCCTATGCAAATCTAACTGTTCACTTAAAGGAAGGATTTCACAGACTTTTCTTTGGTTGTTACTTCATTACGAAACAATGCACTTCTTTGCTTGTTTCCCTAATGAACATACCTTAGAGTGATCAATCTTTTTTTTTTTTTAAAGTTTGCCTCCTCTAGTTTATTAGAAACATCTCATTTTGCTTTCTAGTCTCTCTTTATTTCTAATTTACTTAGTGATAGTTTTGGAGGCTTTGGAACAAAGAGTGCTCTCTAAAAAGATGGTCAGTTTCAATTTGTCAGAAAGTAATTTTTTTCCCCAAATGTTAATCTCAGGACTTTCTTTTTATGTCATATAGAACAAACCTACAAAAAAAAAATGCTTTCCCTTTTACTAATCCCTTTAAACGAAGCTAGGTGATTTTTGAAAGCATTTTAAAATCAACAAACCCAGTACTAAGTTGAGGTATTTAGGTATTTGCCAAAGCTTCCTTTTTTTAAAGCAAACTGATGGCACAGTGACAGTATCGCCCTCTTAGTTTATACACAAATTAGCTGCTTTTTTTTTTTTTAACCATAATGTGAGTAACTGCAAACTTGAAAAGCGTCTCTAGTCTTGTTTTCTAAACTAATATTTTCTTAGAAAAAAGGCCAATGGAGGTACGAACAGAGGAGTAAATCTTTAAGCAAAGTAACGGTTCTTGCAGGCAGCTAACCTCACTGGAATTCACTTTCTGGTGTGCAGCCAAAGGAAAAAAAGCAGAATCTTGTCCACAGAAAAATTAGGAAATAATGACCATAAAGCTTCAAGTTTTGGCCAGTGACAGAATTTAGAACTTCAGGATGAAAACTTCTTTAAACCAACACCAAGAGAGAATTAAGAAATGACACGTACCTTATCTACTGGGAGAAAGTCATTTTCAACTTCTATTGACCTTGGTCGTAGCTTTATAGGTTTGTCTTTGAAGATATCTCCAAAGCCAACACCCTTGACCTTTTTGGGTTGGATTGTCGTGCCTCCGTTGGCTCCTTCTGATTTTGTGCTGCAAGAGTCACCACCATCACTCTCAGAGCCTGTAGCATCTTTTAGGCCTGTGAAATGGAGGGATGAAAGAAGGAATCTTAGGTGTGAAGCTCACTATTTTCAAAACAGTGTGACTGGAGATTGATCCCTCCCACCATCCTCTAAAGGAAAACGAACAGGTAGAGAAGATGCTCTCTGTGCCATGCGCTCATTTTGGAGTTTTAAAAATCACTTTATTTCATCACATTGGTGTACCAGTTAGAACTTACACCAATCCACAAAACATGCATACTCCAGCATCAAAACTTCATGAATGAAGACGGCCATTCCTTGACTACCAAGAAAATCCTTCTTCCTCAGACAAAAATTATTTGGAAGAGAACTCAATAAATGAAAGAGTTAAATTCAGTTGTAGGGCAGCTATTGTATAAAGCCACTTAAAGCTAACAAGCAGTCAGACCAGGCGCACTGTACCTTAAATCTGTGTGACTCATATCAAGCCAATTATGCAATTAGTTCTAAAGCTACATTACCTAACTGGGAAATATAAAGCTGAAAGCTGTTTAAACAAATTTGCAATCAAATAAGCTGCATAATACGTTCCCTGCTGAAAATTAAATCTCTCTGCAGCACAGACAGCCTCATAGGAAAAGCACCCATGCACAATATCCTCTAGGAATGTAATAAATCAAAACTGACATTCTGATTTGCGTTACTTCTCTCAGCGAATAGGAAAATTTATCTGCGCTTATCTGAAAATATCTGCTGTTTGAATAGCAGAGGCCACAGATGCAACATGGTGATGCTTCAGCCACTTTGCAGAATGGTGTAGAATCAGGCCAAACAGTCACTGGCAGCAAAAGTGACCCACTGAAGTTTCCTCCAATTGAAACAGTCCCCAGGATCATTTAAAACTTCCTTCCTACATTACAGATTGACTTAACTACGTTTCCAGAAAAAACACACCAATTGCTGCTACTACAGTACTAACTCTACCTAATAATAACAAACCCAAATTCTCACATTCCCCTCACAAGCATCTGTGATGTCACAGACACGGATCTTACAAGTCAAAGAAAGAAAAATTTCAAGTAAGCTTATCTTCTTAATTATTTTTATATCAAGGTCCACAAAGTGATAGCAATAGATTTTCATCATAAGAGGCTGCCAGTACAGAAGAAAGATTCTTCTTTAAAATCTAGACACCCAAAATCAAGTAGAGATTATATACAAATCTCTTTAAAAATTGGGTAAGCCAGTAATGTTACCCCAAAATTATCTGTATTTCTGCCAAAAGGAAAGAAATGGCACTAAGATTGGACAAAGTCTACTGCATCCCTACAAAAGGGCTGCAAGTTGTGGAGCATGTGGAAAGTTTTATAAAATCTTCATAATCCCTCAGTTTCTATGATTTTCTGATGTGTATAAGCAACAGAAACAGAATGAAGCAGTGTTCCTGAGCTGAAAGCATTTGCATATCATTTCCAGCCTACACTAGAACAACCCTTCAAAACTAAATAGAATTACCTAAAGAAAAAATATTTTTATGAAGTCAATGAAAACCTCTATCATAAAATTTTTAATATTAACAATTGAATCCTTTGCTTTTGCCTCCTCAAGTGATGGCTTTGGTTTTAACAAACAGTCTCCATCCAACAACTTTCTGTCATTCTGGTGAGCACGCGACTTGTTTTGGGAGAGACTTCTTGTCTTCCTGGCAATTCACTATCTAGGACTACCCAGTAAAACACAGCATCTTCTTCAAGGGCTACTTTAAGCTTCTCCAATGAACCACAGAAACCACTGCAAGTCCTGAGGCCTACAGACACAACTTCATGATCCAGGATGCAAGGGGCTCATCCATTAAATTGGTTTCAACACCAGGGTGCTGCTAGGAAAGGAAATCAGGAATTAAGTGTCAGGGCAGGATTTTTAGCAAAACTGTTAAGCAGAAAAACCGTCATATGCTGATTTTCTGTATCCGAAACTTGAAAGGAGTACGAATGCAGAATTAGAGAAAGTTCCCAGCTAGAAACAAACAAAAAGACTAAAGACTAAGCAAAATGCTTAGGCCCTCTGGCCTCCTGAGTGGCTGCTACATCTACCTGTTGAATTTAAGTAACATTTCTGTTTTTTCGAGTGTTCAATTTAGATAGCACTGAACAAGTCATTTGTTCCATAGACTGTGCAGGACTGGAATTTTAAAGAAATCTAAAGAATAGTATTACAATTCTTTTCTTAAATATGCTGGGATCTTGATCTCTTTACTTGGACCTTTTTATTTTCCCAAGAAGGGCCTGGGGGAAAACTTCAAATCTGGTCTCACTGGTTTATTATGGTAGTTAGAATGGTAGTATTCCTGCCATCAGTAAAGTAAATTCTGTGTGCTGCTTCTCTTCCAGAGTTCATGAAAGCAATAACCAGGGAATTGAAGCATTCACAGTGATCTTGCTCTGTGCTATTGATGCAGGGATGAGGTTGGCTATCCGTAGCAGAGCCATTCCATGTTGCAGAGGCACTAAGAGATGCAAGGCTAGATTAATTCAGCCTGAGAGGTATAAATCTCTTCAGGCGACAAGTCAAAGTCACTGCCTCTTTCTTATTCCTACGCCTTGTTGTGACTTGGCCAGTAACAGAAGAAGCTGTAAGTTCTACTAGCTGGACCTTTCCCAGCTTTGCAAAAGATCTGTCGCTAGGGCCTTGGCTGAGACAGAGGCTAGAACCAACTTTCTTTACTACTTCTAAATGCAAAGAGAAGGGTCACCTGTCAACTATACTCAGTTACAAATAATATTTCTGAGAATAAAAAGTCCACAAGTCAAAAACCTCAAACAAATCACAGTGATCATGGTCTCTTTGCTGAACAAAAGATCTTCTTAATATGGGATAGGAAAATTACCCCCTGGGAAAGGTTCCCTCTTTCATCCTTGCCAGAATCTCCTTGAACTACACTGTGATGGAGGGAAGGAGCAGTACCTCCCTCCACAAGTAACTGGATTTTAACTGATAGGATCCATGACTGCTCTTAGCCACTCCCTGAGATGAACAGAAAAGCTAGTTTAAAAATAGCTTTTCTGCATCACTAATTGTGGGAGAAGAGGACCTGACCTTGGCCCGTTGTTGGAAATAAAATATGGAAGTAATTATGGGAATTACTCAACAGGTCTCACATGGACTTCCAGATCTTTGAAGCCTGCATGAAAGACAAATCAGAAACCTCAAGGGGCTTCAATAAGAATTAGGCTTTTGCTTCTGGGTCATCACTTGTTTTTCGTTATGGCGTCTTCATCTTTTATTACCATTTTTCTATGATGAGACATCACACCTTGTATCAGAAACCTCATTTCAGGCTTACAACAGATTTCCCTAGCATCACTCATCTGTGCTTGATGATAATCCAAAAGCCACTTCATTCTCAATGCTGCCGCAGAGCTTTGTCTCAGTATACAGTCCTTATAATAAACGCAACATAGGAAATAACAGTAATTTTTTTTTTTTTTTTTTAATGAGGACAGAACTGACTGAAGTGATGCCTGTCTAAACTAAACTGCGTTTGAGTGGCCAGATACAGATGCCAACCTTACAAAGCTCCTTCAAAGTTAAAAGAATCCTTCTTGACCAATTGGGAATATGACATCATTTATTATTTTTTGACTGACACAAGCTGAGGAGTCCTCTGGACTTAAATAAATAAGAAAGAATAAAAGCCATGGCTTTTCCAAGAACTAGTCTGCTCTTGCTCTTACCAAAGGTGACAGAAGAGGAGGACTATATGCAGTGGAAACTGAGAACAAATTAAATAAAATGAAGATCTGCAGTAACATTAAGAAACAATAATGCAGTGTTTTAGTACAAAACAGTCCTGCAGAAAATGATCTAACATGCTCTTACTCTTAAAGACGTGCCAAGGAGACTCTTTCTTCCCTTCCTCTCAAGGTATATGAGATATACATCTCTGATTTGTACAGATAAAGAATTTGCAAGCAAGAATTTGCAACACTATGCCCACCCTTCCCTGACAAATTCTCTCCTCTCATTTACTTTTCACTGGGTACTTCTGTGATATATATATATGCTATATATGATATATATGATATATATGAGATACATATATATATATCAGCATATATACGTCAGCAATTCTCTTGGAGCAATCCTGCCAAGTGAGGCTGCGCTGGCCTCCCTAGCCCTGCCTACAGAAGGAAGGGATGGCTGATGGCTGAGGTGATCTCTCCTCTTAAAAACAGGAAAAGTCCCTCTTCCAACCACCCTCCTTTTTTTTTTTCTTCAGCTTTTCATGGCCTTTTTCACCACTACTGCAAACAGCTTAATAGGAGAACAGAGCTGGGGGGGGCAGTTTCCCCAAAAGACCAAGGTAGCCCACAGATACAGCTGGGAACTAAGCAGGAACCTGAGTGACCTAGACCATCAGATTATGAATTCTAAACATGAAATTTCCTGCAAGAAGAGCTACAGTTAGCAGGGAGGTCAGGTTGCTAAATGGGCATTAGAAACGGGAGAGCATTTCAGTTGGCAGCCGTCTGCTCCTGCTGACCAATACACCCAGGCGGTCTGAAACAGCTGTGGTAGAGCTATGAACTTACGCACTAAGGTAAGGCCAGTAGCTCAGCAAACTGCTCTCCTCAGAAACACTGGGCACATCTTTTACTTTTCTTTTCAGTCTAGTTATTAAATACTTCAAATATAGCCAGGACTGGATACAAGCTACAGTAGTCAGGCCTCTAGCTTTTTTTTTTTTTTTTTTTTTTTTTTTTTTTTTGTTCTGACTTGGAAATAAAATACTTGCACTTTTCTAGAATCTGTCAGCTCTGTCAGCATTTGGAGAGCTGACAAGCTAAGAACATAACACCAACAAGGTGCTCACTAACGTACCTACTATCACACCAGTCCTAATAGTAGGAAAACTTCTCAGATCTTTAAAATTTCTCAGGAAGGAGATAAGTCTTTTGGGGGTGTCACTTCCCATTTCTGGCTCTATAAACAAAGACACTTTATTCTTTTACCTAGATTTACTGTTGCTGAATCATCATCACCACAAGGTAGAGCT